CACAAAGTGGGGAGCTGAAAGTGTAGAGATTTTCTATGTGATTGAAGTTAAGTCGTTATCAACTTAAGAAATGTAATTACAAGATATTTAGTGATATTCAAGAGATAAAAAGAATCAAAGCAAATCACTATGAAAATATCTTCAAATAACAAGGGATGACAAGAGTAAACAACTACCAAAGAGAAAGAAAACAATTAACAAAATGACAATTGTAAATCCTCACTTATCGTTAATCACTTTAAATGTAAATGGATCAAACTCCCCAATAAAAAAACATAGAGTGGCTGAAGAGATCAAAATAATACAAGAACCAGTAATATACTATGAGAGACTTACTTTAGATTTAAGGACACAATAATAGACTTCAATAGCACATATTCAAAAGTGGATAGAGCATCCACATAGAAAATCAACAAAGAAAGAGTTGACTTGAACAACACTGTAGACCAATTGGACCTAACAGACATATATGGAGCTTTCCACCCAAGAGCAGTATTGTCTTCTCAAACGCAAAAGGAATATTCTTCAGGATAGATCACATGTTAGGTCACAAAAACATCTTATTAAATTTAAGATCAAAATCATCCCAAGTATTTTTTTAACAACAATGAAATGCAACTAGAAATCAATAACTATAAGGAAAAGGGAAAATTCACAAATATGTAGAAACTAAACAACATATTTCACCAACCATTGGGTCAAAGAAGAAATCAAAAGGCAATTAAAAAAAAAATTCAAGACAAAAAAAAAAGTGTCACATACCAAATTATGGGCTGTAACAAAAGCAGTCTTAAAAGGAATATTTGCAGTGATAAATGCTTATATTAAAAAAGATTTCAAATTAACTTATATCTTAAGGAACTAGAAAAAGAAGAACAAACTGAGCCCAAAGTTAGCAGAAGGAAGAAAATAATGAAGATTAGAGCAGAAATAAACCAAATAGAGGATAGAAAAACAATTTAAAAATCAATAAAACTAAGTTTTTTTTTTAAAAAAGATAAAATTGATATATTTTGATAAATCCTACACGTTCAGTGGGGGAAACCATAGTCTTTTCAACAAGTAGGCCTGGGAAAACTGAATAAACACATGCAAAAAAATGAAACTGGACCCTTATCTTATATCATTCACAAAAATTAACTTGAAATAAATTAAAGACTTAAAGATAAGATCTGATACCTTAAAACTCCTAGAAGAAAACATAGGGAAGAAGCTTCTTGACATTGATCTTGACAATTATTTTCTTGGATGCAATACCAAAAATGAATGCAACAAAAGTGAAAATCAACAAGTGGGACTATATCAAAACTGAAAAGCTTCTGAACAGCAAAAGAAACAATCAACAAAATGAAAGACAAGACGTATAATGAGAGAAAATATTTGTAAACCATATATTAGATAAGGGGTTAATATCCAAAATATGTAAGGAACTCCTACAACTCAATAACAACAACAATAAAACACAATCTTATTTAAAAATGGGCAGAAGAACAAAATAGATGTTTTTCCAAAGACAACTGAATGACCCAATAAGTACACAAAAGACGCTCAACATCCCTAATCACCAGGGAAATGAAAAACAAAACCACAATGGGAAATCACTTCACACAGTCTAACAGGATGGTTATCCTCAAGAAGACAAGAGATAACATGTGTTAGTGAGGATATGGAGAAAAATAAATCCTTATACAAAGTTGGTGGTAATATAAATTGGTTCAGTCAATATGGAAAGCAGTATGGAATTTCATCAAAACAGTTAAAAATAGAACTACCGTATAATTCAGTAATTCCACTTCTTGGTATATACCCCCAAAAAATGAAAACAAGATATTGAAGAGATATCTGCACTTCCATGTTTATTATAGCATTATTCACAATACCCAAAATATGGAAACAATCTTTATCTGTCAATGGATGAATAGAAAAGAAAATATGTTATATATACAATAGAATATTCAGCCATGAGAAAGAAGAAAATACTGTCATTTGTGACATGGATGGACCCTGAGGACATAATGCTAAGTGAGATAAGTCAAAGACAAAAACTGTATGACATCATTATTATGTGAAATTTAAAAAAAACAAACTCAAAGAACAAAGGCATTACACTCCTTGATTTCAAATTATATTATAAAGCTATGATAATCAAAACAGTATGCTACTAGCATAAATGCAGACATATAGACCAGTGGAACAGAATAGAGAGCCCAGAATAAATCCATACAGTTATGGTTACTGATCTTCCACAAGAGTACCAAGAAACATACTGAGTAAAGGATAGTCTCATCAATAAGTGATGTTAGGAAAACTAGATATCCATATGCAGAGCAATAAACATGGACTCTTATCTCACATCATATACAAAAACCATCTCAAAATGGTTTAAAGATTTAAAGATAAGACCTGAAACCATAAAACTCTTAGAAGAAAACAGAAATCTTCTTGACATTGTTCTAGGCAATGATTTTTTGGATATGACACCAAAAGCACAGGGAACAAAAGCAAAAATAGACAAGTGAAACTGCATCAAACTAAAGCTTCTGCAGAGCAAAAGAAACACTTGATGTAGTGAAAGGCAACCTACAGAATAGGAGAAAGTATTTGCAAACCATTTATCTGGATGAGGTTAGTATATATCCAAAATATATAAGAAACACAACTCAATAAGAAAGAAAAAAGAACTCAATTAAAAAATGAGAAAAGAACCGAAATAATCATCTCTCTCTCAAAAGAAGACATATAAATGACCAAGGTATATGAAAAAGTGCTCAACATCACTAATTATCAGGAAAATGCAAATCAAAACCACAATGAGTTATCACTTTACACCTCTTAGAATGGTTACCATCAAAAATACAAAAGGTAAGTATTGACAAAGATGTGGAGGAAAGAGAACACTTGAACACTGTTTGTACAAATGTAAATTAGTACAACCATTATTGAACACAGTATAGAGTTTCCCCAAAAAACTTAAAAATAGAACTACCATACAATCCAGCAATCTCACTTCTATGTGGACAACTAAAAAAATGAAACTATCTCCAAGAAATATCTGCATTCCCATGTTCATTGCAGCATTAGTCACAATAGCCAAGATCTGGAAATAATTTAATGGTCTAGCTATGGATGAATGGATAAAGAAAATGTCAATTGCTACAACATGGATGAACCTGAAGGACAGTATGTTAAGTGAAATAAGCCAGACATAGAAGGACAAATTTTGTAGGATCTCACTTATATGTGTAATCTAAAATAGTCAAACTCATAGGAGCAGAGAGTAAAATGTTAGTTACCAGGGGCTGGGGGTAGAGGAAATGAAGAGCTATTGCTCAAAGTTTCAGTTATGCAAGATGAGTAAATCCTATAGATCTAATGTATAGCATGGTGACTAAAGTCAACAATAGTGTACTGTATACTTGAAATTTGCTAAAAGGGTAGGTATTAAGTGGTCTCACCACAAAAAGATTGTAACTATGTGCAATGATGAATATGGTAATTAGCTTGATTGTGGTGATAATTTCACTTTATTTACATTTGCGATATACACCTTAAATATATACAATTTTTATTTTTCAATTACTCCTCAACAAAACTGGAGAAAAAAGTACTATATCTCAGGCAGAATGGCAGATAAGTGCTACCTTCATAGACCTACTGCAGAATTCAGAGGTGGTGGTCCCATCACATTCCCATTTTAATTCACGAGTTTTGCCCTCATCAAACAAACAAACAAATAGATCCTGAAAGATTGGAGTTGACTACTACAACGTGGACCAAGAAGTAGCTCTAATTATACCTGCTGTGCCAAGTGTGGTATTTTTTTCTAAAGCATAGTGAAATGCCATCAGGTACATTGTACGTGACCATTGAGTGGCAAATGTATTCTTTTTCATCTCTATCAAGAAAGATCAGAAACATTACCCATTCATGTGTGATCAACAATATACTTTTATATTCATGTCTCATTTTTTATCTTTGTCCTTCTTTCTTAGTTTTATCCATCCTCATTCTTTTTGAACCTGAGAATGTTGTAAGTTTTTCTGACTTCAATCCATAGTGACAAATAATTTGGCTTTAATTGGTTTCATTGGCTCTTTCTACTCTGAACATCTTGACCACCCTAAATCTGAAACTGGTTTTCTTTTAGCCACAATTCTAGTCAAACCACATTTGATCCCCATGGAGAGTATTCAGAGATCCAGAAAGATACTGAACTTTAATTTTTTGACCAGCTGATAGTGTCAAAATAATAAATACAAGCCAAGGATTTTCTTCAGGTAAAACCTTCCAACTGCAATGGAATCAACCCCTTGATCACCTTAGCATTGTTCTTGAGATAAACAGGATAAGCATTCATTCGTTGTTTTTTTTTTTTTTTACTTTTTTTAAAATTTTATTTTATTTAAGCATGCATTTTTTTTTAAAGATTTTTTTATTTATTTGAGAGAGAGAGAATGAGAGAGAGAGAGAGCACATGAGAGGGGGGAGAGTCAGAGGGAGAAGCAGAGTCCCCACTGAGCAGGGAGCCCGACGGGGGACTCGATCCTGGGACTCCAGGATCATGACCTGAGCCGAAGGCAGTCGCTTAACCAACTGAGCCACCCAGGCGCCCTTAAGCATGCATTCTGAACTTGTTAAAAAGAACTTTCATGATCTGTCCTCTCTCTCCCTCTCCTCAAATCACCTGTTCCCTCTCCCTTATCTCAAACTACGCTTCTTCCTCATTCAGTGATCCAACCACATTGGCTTTGTCCTAGTTATCAAATATACTATATAATCCCTGCCAGTGGGTGGTATGTTGTTGAAGGCATCCCTCATTAAAATTTCTTAAACAAATTTGAAGTTCAATATTAATAGTATAATTTTCATTTTTAAAAGATATATTATCTTTAATACTTAAGAACTCACTGAAGATACTTGGATTTAAATATCTGGAAGAGATCAATTTTATAATAATGATACTTTGTTGCTTACGGAAAAAGCAAAGATTCATTTCTTACTGTTGCGTCACATGAAGGTGTGTTCATCTCAGCAAGTTTAAAGTTTTTGAAGTCTTCACTGACAAATTCTTGAAAACTCTGAGGTATGAAAGAGGCTGTTGACTCATTTTCTTCAATCAGATTTCCATGTACCTTTGTTTGAGGTCGAGCTGAGCCTTTCAGTATTATATAAAATCCATCATTTCCAACCACTGAAACAAAACAAAACCAAAAAAGCTATACTCTTGACTTATTTCCCAGGCTCTTTGATATAGACATGACCACAACACATGTTACACTTGCTTTGCTTTTAGATTTCTTTTAGTTTATGCAATGAGAACTCTAATGAAGCACTTAGGCATTCAAAAATAATTTACTCAAATAAAAAGAATAGCAAAAACATGTCTCCACATTCAGAGAATTCTTTTCTGACAATTATATTAATCAATCCTTATGGAACTGATAGATTCTAGAAAAAGAACCATGGTAATATATTACAATTAATAGATTTAAGATATTTTAAGAAAAACAGGATCAGAAAACTCCTTGAACTTTTTAAAATGTTACCTCCCCCTCAAAAATGCAATTTTGCTTATTTTATATAAGTAACTATATATATTATTAATTTTTATTTGTCTTTCCTCTGGATATGATGATGATTGCTCATAGAAGCTGGTTTAGAAAGAGAGATCATTATTAGGAAGAAGAGTTTTTTCCAGTATTTCTCCTTCTCCACATTGTAACTCTCCACAATCTGTTGTCTAATTCCAATTCCTAAAGTTTAACTATGTTTCTGTAAATCTGGTTGGTTTATTCAGTTGTGAGCATTTTGAATGCAACTTAAATCTGTCCTAGTTCTTCTGAAGCTTGATCTTTTAACCAAGCAGGGCATGGGACAGTTCCCATGGGACAGTCTTTTCCCTTACTAACAGTTCCCAATATTACTTAAAAATCACAAAGTGGTGTTAAACTTATGAATTGTGACAAAAATATATTTATTAACAATGTAAGATAAATATAAGCTTTTGAAATTCCAAAGCAATGAGAAGGAACCTATGACATAGGCTCCTTATTGAAATTTTCAAAATACACAAAATTATGTTATATAACTTTTTAGAAAAAAAAGTACTCCAAGCATCTAAGAAAAATTTGACTCTAAGAATTAAAACAATACAGATCAAAATGGCATTAAATCTTAATTCCCAGACCTTGCAAAAGTAGAAGAATTCAGTAAAATCAAGTTGGTTAAGAATAAGTTTCATAATATTTATCTAACCAACCTCCATGACATGAAAAGGCAAAAAACAACAACAAAAACCATATATATTCACAAGGACTTGAAGAAATTTCCTAGTGCAGGACGGACCTCATGTCTTAAAATATCTTTTAACCACACTTGAATTAGCTGAACAAAAGGCATTCAAAAGGAATTGAGAATACTAATAAGGGAAAGTTTACTCATTCTGGTACTGAGTTTTCAAAAGGTTAAAGGACAAATACAAAGTTTGATTTTGATTAAAGCAAACATGTTTGCGAATTCCTAGATAAGAGTCTCCTGCTCTCTGGTTCAGCTAAAATCAACCATTTTAAAAGGATTTAAATGCTTCAAAGAACTATAATTGGATGAATAAAGTCATATTGTCACCTGGATAATTCTTACTTGGCCTATAAAATTGAGTTTAAGTGTTATCTATTGACCAGGGAAGACTTTGCTGACCTCTGCCTTGCTCCCAACCATCCTTATTAATGCCCCTCCTCTGTGATCTTTTTTCACAGAATTTCTGTCATGACTCTGCATTTTCAGTGTCTGCCAACAGATTCTAACCTCTCGGAGAAAGATCTCTAACTCTGCTCTCAGTCCCTCCAGCCCAGAGCATATTGCCTGGATTACTTTAGGCATTTAGCAAATACTCGAATGCATGAAAATTGAATTAATGATCCTTATTGTATTTCTCTCCAAAGAATCTTATAAAACATTTGGGGAACAACTCATTTTTTTCCTTAGAATTCTTTCTATTGAGAAATAAGATAAAATTTGTGGATGGCCTATTTTCTTCTCTGTCCATTAGGTGGGAACTTAGGAAAATACCAGAAAGTTATGTGACTTTTGAGCCAGGTGGTTTAATCCATGGAATCCTCATTATAAGGTCTAAATGGTCCCAGAGATAACATAACAAAAGCAATGAATAACCTTTTCACAACTTTTATTATATTAAGGTATCTTTGGAGATACGATTTTGCTCTTTGGGGCAATTTTTCTTTCTACCAGGAGAAGTTATTTGAAGCCTATGTCTCATAACATTTTTTTGAATACAACTATAACCTGTGGAAGATAATCTACAAGTAACAGTGGATATTTATTTTAAGAGTTTTTAAAAAACTCAAATAAATAAATCTAGAGCTAAGTGGAAGAGATGAAAGAAATTTATTTCATTTTATTTGGGGCACTAACCTTCCATTGGAATAGTATTAGTACTGACACTTCCTGTCAAATATTTGTAGAGATTTCATAAGGGAGAATTTATAATTTCACATATTTTTGGTGATTGTTTTTAATAACCTTAAAACTTATTATTTGATATTTTTACTTAGTTCTTCTTACAAAAAAAACACTAAGAAAATTCCATATTTCAAATTGTTTGTTCATATCCATAACATGCATATTAAGACCAAGGCCGGGGCACCTGGGTGACTCAGTCTGTTAAGCATCTGCCTTCAGCTCAGGTCATGATCCCAGGGTCCTGAGCAGGCAGAGGGAGAAGCAGCCTCCCCACTAAGCAAGGAGCCTGATGTGGGAGTGGATCCCAGGACTCTAGGATCATGACCTAGCCGAAGGCAGACGTTTAATGGACTGAACCACCCAGGCATACCTACCATATTGTTTTAAAAGTTAGTGAAGAAATAGAATGAGGGAAAATTGGTTTAGAAAAACAAGATGGGGGCAGAAATATACTAAATTACAAAACAAAATCTGTAAAATGCTATATATTTGCGAGGAGATAGTACTGGATCAATGGACAATGTTTACTCCATTTTCTTTACTTTAAAAAAATTAATATAATCAGTTACTTAATTTAGCAACTACAAGAGATTTTTTAAAATGACTTGACTGGAAGTCTCAATACCACTGAATATATTTTTCCCAGGAGTTCTCAAAAAAGGAAAACAATGTATTGTAAACACAACTAATTTTTTCACAAAACACATTATTTAAAATATCTTGTACCAGGTTATAACAAGAGTATTTCCAAGGATTTAAAAATCATTTCTACATGGGAAGATCAAAAGGATGGCATCTGGGTATATAACCATGGGATTCACTGCTACAATCCAAAGGTAAGAGTTACTTTACCTGAAAGAATGAATGAATGATATCTATTTTCAGACTATCATTCAACAAAAATTACTGTGTTCTTAGACAAATTTTGTACCAGTACTGTGTATTCAGGAATGCATTGGTTGGAAATTACCTGTACTACTGATTAATGCATACATTCATTTGTCAAATATTTATTGAGTGACTATTTTGTCCAAGCACTGCAAGTTAGGCCATATTTCAGATTAAGAACCTAAGTGCATTAGAGTCAGCTCTGTTTTTGGGTGAGGTGAGGAGAGAAAAGATAGCTTGGAAAGCTGAAGAACCTGAGACCAAATCATGCCTTAAGAAAGTGTTATGGTATCTATGCCTAGAGGTATGCAGGTGGTTAATTAAGAAATTTTTTACCTCTAAAAATAAATGGAAGCACCTACAACACAGAAAGAATGTGTTTTTCCTGACCTCAAATTACATAAAATTGAATATTTTAAAGTAGTTATCAAAAGCTTTCTGGTCTATTAAAACAAAGAAAAAAAGTTTCAGTAAAGGTTTTAAAAAATATCTTCTCTTAAGAAATATAACTCCCAGGTAGATTTTCCAATATTTTATGGTTTTAAAATATATCCCTGGATAGCAAGGTGAAGTTTTGTTCATGGTTGTTAATAAAAGTTAATTAATCTTGAAAGAAATCTATATAATTCATAATTTGAGCTTTAGAATTTTTGGCTTATCCAAAGCAATTCTTTCTAATAATAATTAAATATCATGAAGAGTTGTCTATTAATGCCACTATTTCTATTGTCTCCAATGAATAATTTATTATAAATTACTTCATTCATTAACATTTAAAAGCTCTCTGGCTATGCATTAAATACAATTGATTAAAAATTTCTACTTTAAAATATATCAACAATTTTTATGAAACATCATTTACCCCAAATTATATTCTAGCTTAAAACTTGATTAGAGTACTTATGACTCAAAATATTTTTTTCTGAAATTTTCACTGTGATTCCTAATGTTAAGCTAAACCACATTCTAATCCTAAATGTATAAATTTTAGTAAATTTTTAAATTTCATGGGAAAAATTATGGATATAAAACCGAGTGATAATTTGACCCATTTCCTCTACAAAATACAGTTTGGGGCCAATATATCACTTAAGTAACTTTTATTATTTTACATGTTCTTTCTAACTTCTGGCTTATGAAAACTAAATACCATTATTTCCCTATAATCACATTTTTCAATGTTCTATTTTAAGTTTTAAAATAAACATTTCTGTATTATTTTCCTTTACTACTAAAAATCCACCTTAACCATCTTATTAGTGTCACTTTTACAAAATGTCACAGTGTATTCTATAGACATTTAAAAGACAAAAATTTACATTAAGCATTAAATCCAGGCCAGTGCCATGAAAAGGACATATCACATCAAAAAACATTCTGGTGGTAGAGAACAGCATCACCATGCAGAACTGTTTTCACACCAGAAAAGATCATAAAAGGAAGACTGCTTTCTATGATGCATCATGTGAGCAGACATTCTAGATTATCCATAAAAGAAGTGTATCAGTTAATGTTACATACTGCCTTTGTGAAGGCTTATTGATGATGATATGCATCAAAAAACAGTTTCTTGATACTGCAGAACTGCAGGAGTTCTATTACTTAAGGAATTTTATTTTAATTTATTTTACTTTTATTTTATTTTTCTTGAAGAGCCAGCAAAGGGTAAGAGAAAACAAAAGATTGGCTTCAGGTTCAAAAGCCCTGGTTCAACCCTTCACTAGAGTTAAACTAGTAAAGCTGAATTTCAGTCTTCAAAGACAAGAAAGTGATAGTCCTACAAAGCTACAAAGCTAAGATCTATCTCTCAAATAATTAATGGTG